CTCTCTCTCCCACCCACCAAGGACAAAGTTAAACAGATAAAGTTAACTACGAATTCAGCTTCACCATTCTCTTAATAATTAGCAGAGGCTCATTAGTCTTCACTTTTCATCATGCACAAACCTACTTCCCCCTGGAAAGGTAGGCGAGCCACCACCAGGCCTATCTCCAGAAGATAACACAATAATCCCTGTTATTTCCATAAAAGAGTAAAATGTAGAGAACCACATAAATCTATATTATTACCAATATCGACTTTAGTGTAATTGATTATTCTTCTTTCCACCTCTAGCAAGCCCCATATTCCTCATAATCAAGATACATCCAGTTTCACTTATAACCCAGGGATTTTAATTAGCAGAACTCCTACAACTACTGAATTTTTTTTTTTTTAAAGCAATGTGAGCTACACCTCAGTTTCAGTGATGAATTTGGTTCCATTTATTTATTAAGCTTCTCAGAAAGGCAAGTCCAAGCAAAATTGCGCATTTCCCAATGCTCACATGAAGAATAAAAAAATTGTCAATAAGTGACAAAAACTTGTACTGGATTTCATATCAAAGGGGCCATTGCATTGGTATCTTAATCCTAAGTATATGATATAATTTCAAGTCAAAGGAAACTATAATGCAAAAACTTAGTCATTCCCTGAACAAACCTCTTGCCACAGAGATCCCAGAACTCTATTTGCAAGGCAATGCAGAAGGTACTTGCATTGCAATATGCCCAAGTGAGAGAGAGAAGGCTGAGCAACAGCAAGTTTGCAGCATAATTGTCAAGTAAACAAACCTCAAATCGTACCTTGACTTCTTCATCTTTATGTATGTGCACATTTCCACATTCATATTCGTCTTGTTTCACATCATGCCGAGCATGCTCCAGATTATTTCTTCTTTTCACATCACAATGCCTAAAAATTTCTTGTAGGGTATCGATAGTTAACTCGATAAATGATCTCCCCTCACCAAGTAAATTCATGATGTGAGCACTTTGTGCTGAATGGAAATTACGTAAATCTGCAATCCCATTTGTAATTAGTTTTTCCGCTAGTATCTGCATGTCAAGATGAAAATATTAGAAGAGAAGATATGCAATCAAATACAAATACTTAAAAGGTACGTAGTACTCACATTCTTCTTTTCTAATTCATGCACTTTCTTCTTTAAATGATTCTCGATTTCTAAACCCTAGACAGCAAAACAAATTATTCTTTCATGAACAATAGTGAATACTCAACTTGCAAATCGAAATAGAAACCATTGACCAAAGAATATCCATACCACTCGCAATTTGGTTTGCAGATTATCAACAGATCTTCTCACCTTCTCCAGCTCCTCTTCCAATGCACTCTGTCTGAGGAAAAGTTATTCAAGTTGAATGGAGAGGAAGTCTCAATCTATCAATATTTTCAAGCTAGGAACATATTCTTCCTGGCAACTAACAATAGCTAACCATTACTCAATTTTCAAAATCCATCGATAGTCTGTGTATAACTAATCTACCTTTATTCCTCATCTAGAGATGTTACTTCAAGTAACCTGAAGCTTTATAATACTGCATATAAAGCAAGTGACTCAACATGCACAAGTTAATCTTTTGCAACATCTTTGCCGCTTGACTTAACATGCACATGTACCTCCACCTGGTTTTATTCCATTCATACCTAAATTAATTTTTTCCTGAAAAACTTGACAGGTTTTGCTATTATAAGGAGGTGCTACCAATGTATAACAGATTTTGCAAAAATATCTTTTCCTTCAATGCCTATTACTTTCCATTAGTACTTCACAGAACATACCTTTTTAACTCGAGAATTTGTGTAATCCACAGTTATATCACCCTCCATTTAAAACTAACAAGGATATGTTGACTAAATCATTCAACTGTATGACACATCCAAGAAGTAAAATACCATGAATTTGGACATACAAGAAAAAAGAAACAGATAAAACATAGCAGGTAAGTACTTTACAAAGCAAGTACTGCTATAGTGTCCAACTGATCGGCTCTACAGCATGCAATTGCTTAATCTGATAACAAACTTGGTACATAACCCTTCCTCAAACTAGAAATTCTTATATAAGGAACTTACAATATATTTTGAGGTGGAAGAATCATTGAATGTCCATGTTTCTTCTGAATCTTGCAGAAGGCATGCACATTTATCATCTGAATTGATTTCTCCTTCTTCGTGAAGAGAATTTTTCCTGATCTCGTAAAACTTGTCAATAACCTGGTTAAAATACAATGAAATAAGCATTTATGCGAACCAAAATGGAATATGGAATACACCAGAGCATTCGTAAGGAATATTCCCATTGATAGGGCCAAATACAAGAGCAGAAGGAGAGACTACCTTAGCAATAATATTCCTAGTATATAAGAGAGGATAATGATATACTCCAAACAAAAGTTGTCTAATGAGGACAGTTTAAGTTACCATAATTTCTTTCTAGGAAGAATCTCTAATGTGGGTACTTAGCTCTTAAACACCAAATTCTGTTTTGTGCTTTCAGCAAGGGTGTCTGGATGTCCTTCATTCATAATGGGACAGATTGAGTGGAATAGCCTCCTCAACTAAAATTTCAAATTATCAGAAAGCGAGTGAACTAGCTGCCTTTTATGAAGTTAT